ATGTTCTACCTCACTCTGACTACACACAAGCTGCCCTTATTATAGAATGGATATAAATTCACTAGAGTCGGTGCAGCGAAGAATGACGAAAATGATTCTGGGACTTAGAAACCTTCTATATCACGATAGGTTAAAGAAACTAAACTTGGATTCCCTATAAAGACGAAGAGTGCGGGGGTATATGATAGAAGTATTTAAGTGGGTGAAAGGCATCAATAAAGGCGATATAGATAAAGTTCTTATAATATCCGAGCAGGATAGGACTCGGAGCAACGGATTCAAGTTGGATAAGTTTACGTTTAGGAGGGAGATAGGAAGAAACTGGTTCACAAATAGGGTGGTGGACGAGTGGAACAAGCTTAGCAACTTTATAGTAAGTGCAGGAACTCTGGAAAGTTTCAAAAGGAGGCTAGATAGATTCATGGATGATAGAGAGTGGTAGTAACTCTCGACAGGAGCTGCCATGCACAGGCCAACCGGCCTATTGCAGACTCCTTATTTTCTTATGTTCTTATGTTCTACCTCACTCTCATTGCACAGTCTTCCTCACCTCACCATATTCTACCTCACTCTTAGTGCACAGTCTTCCTCACTCTCACTTTTGTCTTCCTCACTCTCACCAAGTACGTCCTCACTCTCACTGCACAGTCTTCCTCACTCACCATGTTCTCTCTCTCACCCTCACAAAATATTATTCTCCTTCACTATGGCCATATATTTTCATCACCTACTGCATCACACACTCTCCTTAACTCGCACCATACACCCTCCCATACGTTACCATGCCATCTCACTCTCAGCATTCACTCACCATACACTCACTCACTATACTCTCACTTGCCATAGTATCCCTCGCCATACTCTCACTAGCCAGACTCTCACTCGCCATATATCACACACACACACACACACACACACACACACACACACACACACACACACACACACACACACACACACACACACACACACACACACACTCGAAGGAAAAGCACTAAAACACAGCAATACTGATTGTGGCTGGATCTGACTAAACCTGACCTGACCTCACGGCTTCACCTGACCTAACCTGAAGGATGGAGCACACCTGCATTGCCCCAACCTACTGTCCTGGCCACGTAGCCACACACCTGCCCAACCCCATCCAGCCCATACGAGCACGAACTGATTGCTACAAGAACAGCCCAGTCCCAACCACTGTAAAAATTATCATCACCTAATTATTATATATCATATTTGTATCACTTATGTTACTTGTACATCATTTGTAAATCAAGAGAACCATTCCCCGATTATGTAATTGTATATTTTCAGCCTTCCGGCTGCCCTGCTCTTTCAATAAACAGTAATTATTATTATTATTACACTTACTACTTACTTTGCTATCACTCGGAATCGAGTATGACGATCATCCAGCTATGATACAATGATATGGGTTATTAGGGATGTCACCTAGGTGAGTGAGTTTTGAGATGACTAAAGAGCCCGATACGGGACCGGCAAAGTCTTTCACATTCGTTGCACATGTGGAGGGCTCCATCTACTGTGGGAAGAGTGGCGGCAGCCTCTTTCCGACGTT